TATAGTCTAGTCTATAGTCTAGTCTATAGTCTAGTCTATAGTCTAGTCTATAGTCTAGTCTATAGTCTAGTCTATAGTCTAGTCTATAGTCTAGTCTATAGTCTAGTCTATAGTCTAGTCTATAGTCTAGTCTATAGTCTAGTCTATAGTCTAGTCTATAGTCTAGTCTATAGTCTAGTCTATAGTCTAGTCTATAGTCTAGTCTATAGTCTAGTCTATAGTCTAGTCTATAGTCTAGTCTATAGTCTAGTCTATAGTCTAGTCTATAGTCTAGTCTATAGTCTAGTCTATAGTCTAGTCTATAGTCTAGTCTATAGTCTAGTCTATAGTCTAGTCTATAGTCTAGTCTATAGTCTAGTCTATAGTCTAGTCTATAGTCTAGTCTATAGTCTAGTCTATAGTCTAGTCTATAGTCTAGTCTATCTAGTCTATAGTCTAGTCTATAGTCTAGTCGATAGTCTAGTCTATAGTCTAGTCTATAGTCTAGTCGATAGTCTAGTCTATAGTCTAGTCTATAGTCTAGTCTATAGTCTAGTCTATAGTCTAGTCTATAGTCTAGTCTATAGTCTAGTCTATAGTCTAGTCTATAGTCTAGTCTATAGTCTAGTCTATAGTCTAGTCTATAGTCTAGTCTATAGTCTAGTCTATAGTCTAGTCTATAGTCTAGTCTATAGTCTAGTCTAGAGTCTAGTCTATAGTCTGGGCTATAGTCTAGTCAATAGTGTAGTCTATAGTCTTGTCTATAGTCTAGTCTATAGTTAAGTATTCAGTATATGGTCTAGTCTATAGTCCAGTCTCAAATTAATTGGTAATATTTCATTTAAAAGTACATTTCAGTAAATAAAATATAAACCCCAAAATTAAGTTATAGTTCTGATTAACTACATAATTTATTTCTAAAAAATAAGACAAAAAGTTTACAAATTTTCTATATGAATCATTAAGAAAAGAAAGCTCTGTAAATTATTTAATATTTATAAAAAAATCTAGCAAGACCCCTTTTAATAAATGAAAATATCAAAACCCATAGCAAAATCCCCTAATTCATCATTTGTGGTATTTAAGAGAGTAAAAAAAATGTATATAAAAAGCAGCTTAAACTATTATTCAGAACCGTACAGCAATAAAGTGTCAGTAACGAAAAAACATTTCTTTAAACAAATAAAATTTTATTAATTAAAACAACAACAATGAACTTTAATAAAATATTGCTTTTCTTTGCTTTGATTTTGTGTGCTTTTGTGACTCAAAGTCAAGGTGGTTGGTTGAAAAAGATTGGCAAGAAAATTGTAAGTTTTAAAAATAAAATTAAATAATTTTTAGAAAATAATGTAATTAACTAATAAATATTTTTTACATAAAGGAACATGTGGGTCAACATACTCGTGATGCTACCACACAAACTATTGGTGTTGCTCAGCAGGCAGCTAATGTTGCTGCAACTTTAAAGGGTTGATTGAAATATTTAAAATTGTAATAGATTGTGTAGTATTAATAAATAATTTAAATTAGTTATTTAAGTAAATATTTATATATTATTTTTTTATTTGTTTTAAATATTTATTTTTATTATTTTTTTTTATCTTTGATTTTTTTTTTTGTTGAAAAATATTAATGAGGAGAATTTTGAACTTTTGGTAAATATTAACTACAAGTGATATATTCGACTATTTCGAATCGATATTAATGTGAACATTAGGACTTGGATCAATTATGAACCGAACTCTTTCTCTTAATATGTTGATTTTCAAACTATTTATTAAAAGTAAAGTAATTATCTGAAAAAGAGGTTATATGGGGGCCAATTATAGACCAATTCTTATAAAATTTTGTAGAGAAATTTTACAGTCGATAACTCGACTATCGTCTATGAAAAAAGTCAACATTGTAAATAAAAGTCGAAAAGTCGAAAAAAAGTTGAAAGTCAAAAAAAGTCGATAAGTCGAAAAAGTCGAAAAAAGTCGAAAAGTTGGAAAAAGTCGAAAACTTGAAAATAGTAGAAAAAAGTCAAAAATAGTCGAAAATTTAAACAAGTGGAAAAAAAGTCAAAAACTCTAAAATAATCGGAAAAACTCGAAAAATAGTCGAAAAAAAGTCAAAAAAAAAGTCGAAAGAAGTCGAAAATAGTCAAAAAGTCGCAAAAAAATCGAAAAGTCGGAAAAAGTCGACTATTTATAAAATACTAAAGTCTAAAAAGTCGACTTTTTATTAAATGAAAAAAAGTCGAAAAGTCGACTTTTCGTTTCAACTATAGAACCCTACATTATAGAATCTACTTTTTCATTAGACTTTACGTACGTAAAGTGTGATCGTGTAAAGTCCCCCTAAAGTATATCGATGATCAAGTTTTAGGCGACCGTTACAAAAATATGTTTTTCATTCTTTTTAATATAGAAATTCAACATTTTCCGTGTATTTTCTACTTTATCCGACTTATTAACGTTTTTCGACTTTTATCGACTTAACTTTTATTTACTACATCAATTAAGCGACTTTTCTCTGGATATCTATAGTGAAACAAAAAAATCAACTTTTGTCTATTTATGAAAAGTCGACTTTTTGAATTTTGCAATTTATAAAAATACGATGATCTAACATAACAAAATTGTTTTTTAATATATTTTTACGGAAATTGATTTACTAGATCGTAGGGTTCTATAGTAGAAACGAAAAGTCGACTTTTTGCAATTAGTTAAAAGTCGACTTTTCAACTTTTTGCATTTTATGAAAAGTCGACTTTTCGACTTTTTTCATTTAATTAAAAGTCGACTTTTCGACTATTAGTATTTTATAAATAGTCGGCTTTTTCCGACTATTTTCGACTTTTCGATTTTTTCGACTTTTTCACTATTTTTGACTTCTTTCGACTAATTTTTGATTTTTTTTCGAGTTTTTTCCGACTATTTTACAGTTTTGACTTTTTTAAAATTTTCGACTATTTTTGACTTTTTTCTACTATTTACGAGTTTTTCGACTTTTTGCGACTTTTTCCGACTTTATTCGACTTTTCGACTTTTTTGGACTTATAGACTTTTTTCGACTTTTCGACTTTTATTTACAAAGTCGACTTTTCGACTTTTTCATAGACGATGGTCGAGTTATCGACTTTTTTGGAACCAAATAGTCGTCTTCGACTTTTCGACAGAAGTCGATTGTTTGATTATTCGAATGTCGATTTATAGAACCCTACTAGATCGATGATTAGACTTTTTCTTACAAAATAGTCGACTTAGATTAGACAAAATAGACGACATTTGTTCGACAAAAAGTCGATTGTTTGAAAGTCGGTATATAAAACTTAATTTTATTCTTAACTAATATTAACTTTGTTAGGACTAATTTTTACACAAAGTCGATTTAAAGAAATGAACTAAAAAGACAATAAGTTTATTTAAAATTGGCCTTATAAAAAAATCAAATTTTCAAATCAAAATTAACTTGAAACAAAAAGATAACAAAATTTTGTATTAAAAAAACGTTTATAGAATTTTCACACAATTGTTATTGTTATTCCAAATTAATCTATATATTTATGTTTTTTTACTAACGGAAAAATGTAATTAAATAAATTATTTAATATTATTAAATATAATTTTGAATTATTATATTAATTTAAAACTATTTCAACAAATATTGTTTAATTTCACACATACTTTTTGCAACGTGTACACCCATCTCTAGCACTCGCTATACACACAAAAATACAACCCTGTCAACAACTGCAGCCAACTTCCGAACGAATGAAAAACGAGCGAGTAAAGGAAATTACTGTTCAGTGGGTCTGTTTTACTTCCTTTTCTGTCAAAATAATTGACCAAGGTTGGTGTATTTTTTGTGATAAGTTTTTGAAAAAGCAAAAAAAATTACGATTATTTTCCATAAAAAAGTAAAAATGTGTATTGAAAATGAAAACTAAGAGAATGAATTTAAAATATAAATGAAATTTGTGTGTAACAAAAAGAAAAACAGCAAGATGTTAAACGATTAGAAAAAAAGAAAAATGTCAGCAGCCGGCTGGGAAAAGAAAAGCTGAAAAGTGTTTACGTTTGTGTTTATAAATTAAAAAATCTAAAAGATGGAAAATAAAAGTGATTTTTTTATGTAAAAAGAAAATGATTAAAGAAGCAGCAACTAAAATGATGTGTTTGTGTTTCTTTTATGCAATTTTAGATGATTGGCTCCAAGATTATTAAGCCTGGTGGCGCTGAGCCCGATGATTTTGAGAAATCCATTGCTCAAGCTCTCTTGGAGTTGGAGGCCAACAGTGACCTCAAGCCCTACTTGAGAGATTTGCACATTACACGTGCCCGTGAAATTGAATTCGGCAACAAGAAGGTGAGTGTTGAGTGCTGTTCTTTATATTGTTGTGTTAATAGTATTAAAATGGATTTTTGTTTTTTTTTTTATTATTATTAGGCTGTCATCATCTATGTGCCCATTCCCCAACAAAAGACCTTCCAAAAGATCCAAATCATTTTGGTTCGTGAATTGGAGAAGAAATTCTCTGGCAAACATGTCGTTGTTGTTGGCGAACGTAAAATTTTGCCCAAACCTACCCGCAAGGCCAGAAACCCCTTGAAACAAAAGCGTCCACGTTCCCGCACCTTGACCGCTGTCTACGATGCCATCTTGGAAGATTTAGTCTTCCCCGCTGAAATCGTTGGCAAGCGCATCCGCGTTAAGTTGGATGGCTCTCAATTGATCAAGGTTCATTTGGACAAGAATCAACAAACCACCATTGAACACAAAGTAAGTTGATCACGGGAGTTGTAAATAAATGGGAGGGGTTTTGTTTTTGTGGATTTTAATTGTTGTTGTTGGAGACAAGTGTAAATGAAGAAGTGTTTGTTGTTTTTGGAATAATAGTATTTTGTATTGATGTGCGTGTGTTCAATGAGAAATATTGTGAAAAATTGAAAATGTTTAAAGTAGTTTCATTAGAAAACAAATATAGAATGTGTTCCAAAAGAACTAGTTTTAGAATGGGTGTAAACAGAGCCACTTCAGATTCATGAACAGCATATTTGGGACTGTCGTCGATGTAAAATATTGTGACTCCAAAGTACTTCTCGGAAGTTTTCAGGACAACAGCTCTACAACACTTTAATAGTTAAAGAAACGCTTACTAGTTCTAAAACAACTTCTTGGAAAGATTTGAAAAATAGAGAATAGTAACTAAATTTAAGTTCAATTTGAAGAACTTTATAACATTTCAAAAACTCCACACACTTCTTCATTGAACTCCTATAAGTTTAAATATTATGTTTTAATACTATAATGTCCTTGTGTTATTTGCTGATTGTATATTTAACCAAGATCAGTGATTGTCAAAAAGGACAAATATTAAATGATACAGCCAATGTCTCGTTATTGTTTGAAAATGCTTATAAATGGCCTTTAAACATTTCCATACGTTGGTTACATTTCTATCATCAATTATTAACTATAAAGAAATATATTTAAAAGGAACTAAAAGTGATTCATATATTAAGAAAATCGTCCTTGTGTTAATTGCTGAATTATGGCCACTAGTCACAGTGATCGTCAAAAAGGACAAACAGTAAAATTTACAAGAAATATTTTTACTTAAAAAAAATTACAAGTTTTTTTCCCAAATTTGTAATAAATATAAAAAAGTATTTCTACAAAACGATAAAAAAGATAAATTTTGCGCGATTTAGGAATTAAAGTTTAAAAGAATTAATTCTATTTAGAATTAATTTAACTTAATTTTTCTCAAAACGTTTAAAAATATTTGAATATTTGAACATTAAAGAAATATATTTAAAAGGAACATGAAGTAATTTTATAAACATTATCGTCCTTGTGTTAATTGCTGAATTATGACCACTAGTCACAGTGATCGTCAAAAAGGACAAACAGTAAAATTTACAAGAAATATTTTTACTTAAAAAATTACAAGTTTTTTTTCCCAAATTTGTAATAAAAATAAAAAGGTATTTCACAAAATGATAAAAAAAAGAATTAGGAATTAATTCAACTTAATTTTCTCAATACGTCTGAAAATATTTGAATATTTCATACTCTGAACTCATTCTTTTGTAAGTCATTTAAAAGTTTATTTCTTTGGTTTTAGATTCCAATGAATTTCCAAATGTATTCAAAAATTTTATCAGGGAATTGATTCAAGCAAAGACTTGAGTCATTCAAGTCATGTAAAGGTTTAAGAATATATTCTTAGAATTAAGGGCCTGTTCCTCTATGTTGAAAACAATAGCAACAACAAAGTATGAAAGTACATGTTCGTTCGTATTTAGAGGAGTAGGCACTAAATCTTAGGAATGTCTTTAAGGAATTGCAGATAATTCTTGAAAAGTGAAATCTATTTAAAAGAAAATAGTTGGAATTTGTCCTTTCGAGCTTAAATTAAGAACACAAACAATAGTTCAGAGAGAACGGAATAAGATTGTCAAAAAAGCTAGAATGTATTATACGAACTTTTCTATTAGACCTGGTTCA